TTGACCTGGGTAAGGGCGAATGTATTCAAGATGAATCAAATATTTATACTTCTATACATCCCCACTCGCACCACACCCGTATCCACAGCCACATCCACACCCATCAACACCCACCCACCCTTACAAATAATGATGATATTATTTTGTATTTAGATAAAACTCACAAATTTTACATTATTCGGTACACTTAATAAGAAGACATCAATATCTTAATTGATGGATTATTCAAACGAAGCAACAAGCACACAATATGACTTTAGTGAGATGCAGACAGTTCTAATAGATTTGCTGGAAGAATCACGTCAACAGTCTCCTGAATTCTTTTCAAAGGAAATTCATGTACTACCAGCTGTTAATGGTAATGTCGAAGATCAATTGAAACAGCAGTTACAAGAAGAACGCGAAATTCATGCAGGAAAACGTATTCTTCTGATTCCTTGCTGCTTGGAAGATCTTCATTGGATTGGAGTTTTAATGGAATTTCAAGCAGCTAATCGTATTATACGAGCCGAGTATATTGATCCAGTAAGTGGATCTAATGTTATTGATCATTCATTACAAGAACAACTTACTGAAGTTTATCCATCAGCTGTCTTTCAGCTAAAAGATGGACTTAAGCATGCTGATCAAAACTGTAGTTCAGTATTAACTATTGAAAACTTATTAAATGCAGTTGGAAATAATCAACGTTTAAGTACTCCGACATCGATAACTTCTAACCCAATGTCAGGTAATAACTATGAACTCAGCGAAAAAGAGCAGAAACTGAACGATGGATTTACAAAGTTTAAAATCCGAGATGTACCTGGGTTGTTACAGAGAATACAGAAAACAGAAGAACGAATCAGAGACTTTGAAGATGAAGAAAGAATAGAAGATGCCGACAAAGAAAACATTACGTTGAAGGAACTACTACAATTACAAAATCTGACAAATGACATTGCTCGGATGAAAGGCAAACCTTCTATATTTATCCATAGTAGTCAGTCGAAACTTGAAGAGATGACAGGAGAATTTAATAAGGGGCTAACAAAATTCAAAATACGAGATAAAGCTGGGTTATTACAAAGAATACAGAAAACAGAAGAACGAATCAAAGATTTTGAAGATGAAGGAAGAACAGAAGATGTCGAGAACGAAAATATTATTTTAAAAGAGCTTGAACAATTACAGTATCTGATGACTGAAATACCTAAATTAACTCAAGATGTATCTTCACCTGAGCAGGTTAATCAACTGAAAATTCTTCAGTTGAAAGAAGAATTTAGTAAGGGACTAGTAAAATTCAAAATTCGTGATGATGCTATGTTGTTACAGAGAATACAGAAAACAATAGAAAGAATAAAAGATTATGAAGATGAAGGAAGAACAGAAGATATCAAGAAAGAAAATATTATTTTAAAAGAGCTTGAACAATTACAATATCTAATGAATGAAATAGCTAAACTGATTCAAGATGTATCTTCACCTAAGCAGGATAATCAACTGAAACTTCTTCAGTTGAAAGAAAAATTTAATAAGGGACTAGAGAGATTCAAAATCCGAGATGAAGCCATGTTGTTACACAGATTACAGAAAACAACAGAAAGAATAAAAGATTTTGAAGATGAAGAAAGAATAAAAGATGCCAAGAAAGAAAATATTATTTTAAAAGAGCTTGAGCAACTACAGTGCTTGATGAATGAAATAGCTAAACTGACTCAAAAGTTGTCTTCACCTGAGCAGGTTAATCAACTGAAAATTCTTCAGTTGAAAGA